TTGAACTTGTTAACTGATTTGCTTAAGTTAGTTATTTTCTTTCTTTCTTGTTTTTTGTTATTTTCTTTCTTGTTTTCTATTTTGTACAGGAATCGAATTGAAAAATCTATCATCAATCCTCGTGGGATCGACCTCACACTTACATATGCTGTACTATTGAACGGCTAGTGCGCTTACAAGTATCACAATTTGAGGATGCAACTGAATCAATTTTAACGCAACTGAATTGGACAAAAAAATATTTTTTGTTTAATTGAAGCCATAGAGGAGGAATGTGGACTCAAAATAGGACTGGACTTCAATTGCATGATTTTGCTCTAAATAATATTTTCATTGAATTGTGTCAGCACATGACTATTTTCTGCGTATTAGTAATTTCTTATTGAATGTTGATGAACCACCTGGCATTAAAATCAAATAAATTAAATACTAACAGTCATGGGAAGAGATGAATAAATAAATTGCCGTCTGTCCCCATCTAACAGCACACCAACACTGGAGTAAAAGAGACACATTGATTCAAAGTACATGGTAAGTTCCATAATAATCCAAATGAAATTTGGAATTTTCTTACCAAATCTTCATACTTGGTAAGCTAAAATTTGTAGAAGTCTCATTCAAATATTACCGTCTATAAAAAAACAAAAAACAAAAATCTATATCTGGCATCTAGATCTGATGAGGAGACTCAAGTGTCATGGAAGGTTCTATTTAACTAAACTATTTATTTCCAATGTTAAAAGAACAAGCAGATGTTATTTTTGGTCCGTTATTCCGATCATGATTTTCCTACACGCTGTTGGAACCTCCGACTCTATAGTCCGTAACCACAGGATCTAATCCTCTGATTTATATACCTCACTCTACTTTGGCTCGATAAATATAAATTGTGCATTTCGTAAAGTGTGTGTGATTCTCTCTCGATCAATTCAACTTGACGTTGTATTTGGTCACAGGTGAAAATTTATCAATATTCGATCAGCAACTTAATTGCGTGATCTTGACTAGGAGTTCATACATTCTCTTAGTGAAGATCATATGAAGTCTACTCCAAAGAAAGAACTTTTGTTCAGAGAAGAGTTATGCACCAAAACGGATAATATAGTGTGTAAACTAAAAGGATTCCAAGGAGCGATTAGAGAAATTTATAATGAACCCCATTTCTAGAAATATAGGCTTATATGTGGAAAGCCCTGGCGATTATCAAGCATAAATAATCATTAATTGTTGGAGCATAGTCCAACTGCAAGAAAACCCCAATAAAAATACAGGACGAAGATGACATGATTATTGAAAGAAAAAACAAAAGACAAAAAAAAAGAAAAAAAGAAAAAAAGATGCTGCAGCTCTTTCATTATAGTTGAAGTGTCGTTGAAGCAAAATGCTTAGGCTCGTATGTGATCAAAGGTATACTTCATGTAGATCTTGCCACTTCGTTGAAGTTTTATATATTCCTTATAGTTCATTGCAAGGTATTTAGGAGCTTCACCTTCTTTTTCCATTAACTCTGGAGCTGGGGCAATAATTGTATCCACAGATGGTCCATGTGGTATGGCGATAGAGATTCGTGTAGCTTTGTTGTTCAAGGTGGCCCGATGCATCACACTCTTGTATTTGCCGTTAGTAAGAATCTGTTGAAAACCATGAATTGAATCAAACTTGAATCGTCAAAGATGCGATTGATGCATATGACCCAAGTTTCCAAATGCAGAAAGCAATCTTACAGAGAAAAAGAATAGGCAACCAAGATGAGCTAAGAGAATCTACCCATTTCCCTCTTTCCTTGGAGCATGAAAATGCTGATGTGGCAAGGCAAATGAGGTTAGCCTACTCTTTTGCTTCTTCTTGAAGTTGTTTAATGTGCGATAAATAAAAATAAAATTACCTGCATCTGGTCAGCAAGGTTAACAAAGAAACAGTTGGTAGGGCCATCGACAGTGAGCCATTTCCCGTTGTGCTCAACTTGGAGGCCATTCATCTCATTCTGGATGAGGAGAGTGATTAGGCCATGATCAGTGTGATGTGGTATACCAATTGCATGTTCTGGCTGAGGGCATGGTGGGTAGTAGTTGGCGGCCAGCATTTGCAAGCCACGATCCATGTTCATTGCGTCGTATATGTAGTTTGGCTCCAATCCCAGGCTTTCTGAGATTGCTCTTGTTATCTCCAATGCAACCTCTCGGCTTCTCTTGCTGAACTCCCTTGATATCTCACTGAAGCAACTCGGTTTGTAGAGGGAGTAGAACTCTGGATGTACTCTCACCTTGAAGAAGTCCCTCCACAGGAGGACTTTATCCGTGGCCGGATTAAAGCTGGTACCATACTCGAACATCTCTAGCACATCGTTACCCGATTTAAACTCCTGCTTCTCCTTGTCAGGAAGAGTGAAAAATCCATGACAAGCGTCAATCATCGCCTTCATGAGGCTCTCTGGCACTCCATGGTTAATGGCCTGGAATTAATATTGCATCGCAATGGTTAATAAATTGTCAATCAATTATTAAGTTGTAATATAACTGCTGTAGATATAATATATGTAGATCAAAATTACTATGAAGAAGCCCCAATCTTGACAAATTTTTATGAGGTCGTGAATGATTTTTGACCGTTGATCAGGAGACCCCGAGGTGAGAAGAGACATATCAACAATGGGAATTGTGAATTCAGGATCGTTTGGATCTGCTTCTTCGTTGGGGTTTATGTTGAAGGCATATGTGGAAGGAACTGAGTTGAGGGCAGGGGATTCAGCAAGTGATTTGATGCAAGGATTAAAATATCGGCCGTGTAGATAATATCGGGCCTCCAATTTACGGATATTTCGAGGGATATATCGTTATCGTTTTGGGTATCGGGAAAAAATCAACAAAAATGACAGATATAAGCATTGAAACACATAATTTTGGTGTAAAACTTTCATAGATGTTATGTACATTGTCAATGAATGTATTGAACAAATAAAACTCAAAATTTATTAATAATAAGATATATATATATATATATATATGATGAAATATAAGTGGTATGTAATACGCGTTAATGAAAAGTTTGAAAATAAAAAGTTGATTAGAATGAATAAACCATGCATAAATCCATAGTTTATTTGAACATTGGATTACAATTTAGATGAGTGTCCAACTACATAAATGAAGAGCTCCTATGAGGTTCAAACAATGTGGAACAACCATCTAGATTCATACAATAATCATACCAAGTCATGTAACCCGAGTAGTTTGTAAGCCATGTTTGAACATGGTGCACATATGACTCTCTTGAGCTCCCTACTGTCCTCCCATATATGGGATAGTTAGGATTAACTCAACTAGTAGGTCCATAATCTGTTTCATCATCTTGAGCTCCATATCTAGTTCCACTATAATCAGACATGACATAACCATAGCCATCATAAGATTCATTTGAGTTAGTACTAGGTCTAGATTCTTTTGATGCATACTCTAAAACATGCATACTCCAAAACATCTTTTGAATTGAATATTGCCAAAAGCCTTCACACATATATCTAATCACTGCACATATACCTCCAAAAAATCTTTTCAATTTCAATTTGCTTCAAAACTTTTGAATTTTTTTGGGTTTTTTTATGGGTATCGGGAAATATCGGAAATATCGGCAAAATATTGGAGATATCGCACTTATCGGGGATATATCGTCGATATCGGGGAAGATATGGCCTTACCCCCCAATATCGGTGTCGACAGTTCAAAATATCGATATATCGGCCGATATATCGGTGTATCGGCCGATATTTCAATCCTTGATTTGATGCTTGTTACTTTCAATGTGTCCATGGTTTGTGCAACAGCAAGTGGAGCCTTCGCTTAAAACTTAACTCAGAAGATGATCTATCACAAGATGTAAATTGGGAAGGACGCGAAAGTGTGTTGAGTGGTTGTAAATTAAAGAAGTGGCTCCTATTTATAGCTACTTCGAGGAGGCAGGTATCTCAACTTTAACACGATGTCAAATATCTTTTAAAAGTGTCGGCCATAATTAAAAGCCTTCTAGAACATCCACGATGTCAAATACACGCACGAGAAAACGTGGATTTGATTTTTAAGCTCGATTTATATTTAGGTGTAACAAGTTAACGACTATTTTTATTTTCATATTTTACATTGTTTAAACATCTATTTTTCACCAAAAGTCCAAGTCAAAATACCTTGATCAACCAAGCATTGAAGAAGTAGAGCATCTGGATATGATGCAGATCAATGACAACCCCAACTGGCAAGATTCCATTATTGACTACTTGGTGAATGAAAATTTTCCATGAGAGAAGTCTCGAAGCTATGAAGCAAAAAGCTTAAGGGGTCGTAGATCATATTTTGGTCCTCAACTCGCATGCATAAAGTACCCACGAGCTCTAGAAGTGCTCTACAAAATCCACAATGGAGAATGTGGAAATAGCATTGGGGAAGGTCACTTGCCCAGAAGGCTCTCAGCATAAGCTACTTCTGACCTAACATCATCTGCTGGTTTGGCTGTCCACAGTCCCTAGTTATTGAAAGGAAAAATCTTGGCTCCTTAAAATCTCCTCCTCACAACAAATAGAGTTTTGGCACTTGTCAAATTCCTTGAACTTTATTTCTTTTAAATTCCTATAACTTTTTGTTTTTAGTTTGATCCAATCGTATATCTTTGGATGCTATGCCACTTTGTAAGCGGTTACGTCATTTACTTATTTGGAATGAGGATTACTCGTGAATTGGGAAAATCGAAAATATGTATGGGATTATGGGAATAGGTATGAGATCAACTACCCTCAATTAATATAATTTCAGTTTTTTCATAAATTGTGGATTACATATTGTAAATTGAGGCCCACATATTTTTTGATTTCGTAAGTGTTAGTAAACGGAAAAGAAGTCAGAATTTGAAATATTTGTAATACATATTTTAGATAAAGTAAATATGTCATTATTCTTTCACGAATCACGTTTATAATAGAGATTCCGTATTCCATACGCATTCCATCGGTTGATTCACAAATCAAAGTATTGCCTTTGAATCATCCTCTTCTGAGTTCTGGTCAATTCCATAGTTGGTCTGCCGTTTTTTCTGACAAAATACCATCTGCCTTCTATGATAGTTGCCAAAGGCTTGTCATTTCCAGGCATCTTAATTGGTATTTCTTTCTTTGGATGTTGTGTCATCCTTCTGCTGCACTGAGTAGGCCTTAGATAGTCCTTCTGTCTGGCTCTATCCTTAGATGTGGCCGGAACTGAGCTCTGTTGGTATGAGGTTCCAATCCTGTCAAAAACGCTAGGCGTGGGCTGATTCTGCCTGTTCAGTGTTACTTCCAGCTCACTCTCACACTTGCACTTGATGCACAACATTACCCAGCCGAAATGGTTGCCTTTGGCCTTTGATTAGTTTCCCTTGTGACTCTTCTGCCTCTACTTGAGCTAGCTTCTGTTGTTAGTTTGCCTCTATTCTGTTCTGACTAATTTAGGTTGACCATGTTGACTTAAGGCTGGGGAAAAGGATCTGTTGTAACTGATGGAGGTTTCTCCACTAGTTTTAGCCTTCCTACTATTATTCCTTCCTGTATGACATCCCTGAAAACAACACAGCTGTTGGTGGAATGGTTCCAAGAGTTATGCCACTTGCAATACTGTCTGCCCTTGAGCTCCTCCGGCTTGGGCAACTTGTGGGGTGTTTCTATTGCTTTTTGTAGCAGCATCTCATCAAACAAAGAATCAACCTTGGTTAGATCGAACGAATATACCTTGTTATGGGTTGGTTTGTTTAGAAAAAACCCTCATGTGAATGATGGCGGCTTCTGGTCCTTTAGTGGCTTTGTAAGGGCCTTGCAGCTCATGGGATGTTTCAACTTTGCCATTTCTGCCACTGCAATTTCTCTTTCCTCCAAAACTTGTGTCTTCTTCAGATTTTACCTCAACCAGATGTATTGAAAAAGAAGTGGACTTGTAGTATGTGCCTTTAGAAGAGTTCCTCTTCTGTTGTTCTTCCATGAGCAGTCCTCGTATTTGGCTGCTTTATCTGCTAGTTCTGCTAGATCTCCAAACAGCATCCCGTCAAATTTTTTTCTCAGCGAGATTTTAAGGGCGGTTTGAGCCATCTAGATGAAGTGCCTTTCTTTCATAGGGATCTGGCATTTCATCTTGAGCTTTCTGAATCTGGTTATGAAGTCATGAGCCGGCTCATCTTCATTCTGTTTGAGGGCAGCAAGATCACTGATGGTAACTTTTGGCTAGATCCTGAAATAGTAGTCATGGAAAATATTTTTCATTTGCTCCCAGGTTTGAACAGAATTAGCTGGTAGACTAATCTACCAAGTGAAGGCTTGCCCAGATAGAGAATTTTCAAAAAGCCTTAGCTTTAACAGAGGGTTATTTTCTATGGCTATGCATTAAACAGAGAACCTGCCTATATGCTCAACTGATGAAGCATGGGGATCTTCTCCGTTGAACAAGGTGAAGTTAGGCACCTTGAAACCCGGGGATAGAGGTATCTTATTGATAGGATTTTTAGTACCTGCGCAAACAGGGTTAAAATCACTGAAAATACTTGCAAGAATACAAGGTAATTGTAATATAAATGCTCATGCAAGGTCGTTGTCCCCAAAGATTGTTTGACTAATCTGTAATTAAACTAACTCTTAATTAATAACTAAAATAGATTTTATCAAAGATTTGAAGTTTATGAATTTGAAAAGATTAAACTAACAGTAAAAGAAATCTGAAAGTTGTGAAATAATAACAGCAAAGAAGAAAAACGATTTCTTTTTAAAGACTAACAATTTAGAGAAAACTAGGGTTTAGCCAACACCGTCGCAATCCTATGCAATTCTATCAATTACTTATGAATTTCCACATATATGCTTTGAAGGTTAGGTTTTCCTAATGCATATTTTCCTTGTGATGTTCAAGCGAAAACGTATATCTAACATGCAATCCGTCTGTGATGTTCAGATCAAATATAAACATGCAAGACTCATTAAGCTTTGTGAAAACCCTTTGAAAAAACCATGCAACCCTTAAGAGCGTGATGTTTGCCTTAAGTGAACTTACAATTACTAATCACAAGAAGCCCTCCTCAATTTCAGGGTGATGTTCCAACAGAAATTGCATCAAATTACTTGTCTACATATCCTAATGGTGATCAGTCATTAAAATAGATAGATAGTTTTAAACACAGTGATTAATAATTCAAAGCAAACATGCATCCATTCATAAGCAAATTAATAAAACTACATATTCATGCTAAGGCTTACGGCCTTGCCCTAGCAAAAGGAATTAGTTACACATAATCATAATTGAAATCCAAGAAAATATCATCCGAATGAATAAGAATGAAAACACCTGAAAGTAGCGAAAATCCAAAACCCTAGCAATTGCTCCCAAAGCCCAAAAAGAAGTCAAAAAGGAGGTCCTTAAATTCTGTGAAAAGGAGCTTAAATACCTCCTAAAACCTAGCTACCCAATCCCCACAAGGAAACTAAGTTAAAGTAAAATAAGACTAGGAAATAAAGTCCAAATTGGATTAGGAGAATCTGCCCATAATCTGCCCAGCCACGTTTTAGTCTCAAATCTCCCCCAAATCTGGCCCAAGATAGCTCGTTTTAAAGATAAAAATATTCCGAACACTTCTCCAGAAGGCCACAAACCCATCCGAGGTCATCTTGGGCTCCAAAATCGCAATAAAAGCCCAAAACGTCACTATTCCAGCATAGCGCACTGCTCCTTCATTTATTTGCCAAGAAATCATCGCTTGGTGGAAAAGTCTGATATTTTGATACGATCAAGCTAAGTGACTCACGTACGTCCTCCAACTGGAATTACTCCAAAATTCGTCCATTTGATTATGTTTTGCTCCAGAGGAAGTCGAAAGTCCTATATTGGAAATATAATTCAAAGTATCAAAATTCTTCCAACATATTAACCAAAATATACTAAGAATGAGGTTAAATATATAATATAAAATTGACTCATCACTTATCAATGTAAGCCGGATATGGCATTTTGTAAGTGGGCCTTTCTCTTCTTCTAGCTTCAGGTTCCATCATCTCCCTGATCATTCTTTGTAATGCCCCCATGTCATTTAAAGCATTGATAGGGTGCGGATTTCGCCCTTGTTCTGGCTGGGCGTGGTCAATCCTGTGCTCCATTCTGTATGGCCTGGGCAGAACTTCCTCCCTGTGTTCTTCCTCTTCTTCAAAATCTGGATGATTCCTCCAGTTTGCAAAGGGGTTGATTCCCCATCTGCCTCTTGCTGGTGGAGGGAATGGATTGGGATCCATCCTTCTGGGTCTGTAAGGCAACACAGCTAGTGCCTCAGGCAGAAGTGCCAAGGATTGATCACGCGGGGCCACGGGTTGTGGAATAAGTGGAGGTTCTGGCTAATTATGGGGGACCTGAACTGATGCAGGGCCTTTTGGCCAAACTGGAGCCTCATGCTCTTGGATGGGAAGGGCTCCTCCCCTCTGTCTAGCTTGGATCTCTCCATGCCTTAGTATTCCAGCTATCTGTGCGATGCGAGGGTTTTCCTGATATGGTCATGCCAATCATGGTGGAGGACTATAAGGGAGGTCTAGTTGTTGGACTACAACATATGGGTTTGGAATCCTAGCCATAGAAGCCTCTCAGTCCTTCCTGAACTGCCTGTTGACTTGCCATTGCATCATGGTTGTAACGTTATTCAGAGTATCCTGGCTTTTCTATGCTGTGGCCTCTTGTCGGAACATAGCTTCCTGTATCCTAGTAGACTTCTTAAAAATAGATAACTTGCGCCCCAAGTTACTGATTTCTAAACAAATGATTGTGAATTTGGGTGAGGAATAATTGAGAAGGGAAAAATCAACTCTAGAAAGACAAAAAGAAGGTTGGACTTCCATTTCTACCTGGATAGAAAACTCCTGATTTAGGCTGGACTAGGTAAGCATGTGCTGGACTAAGCTATTAATAACTTCAACTGCTAAGCTTCAGCTGTAATCGATACCAAAGTTCGAGTTTGGCAGAGCTTTAATATATTTCGAGCCCTGAGAGGCTTTTTGAACGGGCAGAATTGCGACTCCTTCGGTCTGAAAGGGACAGAAGTGGCTGGACTTGTGGATTACTGAGCTGGAACTGTACTGTGGTACATGTTCTGCTTGGTCAGTGCTCTCCATAAATTTGTTGAGGTTTTCATATTTGTAAAAACTCAAACTCTGCTTGTTTTGACTTTTGCTGAACCATATTTATAACGAGAGAAATCTCGTTTTGAATGATTTATTTTCTTAAGTCTGAATTAGAAGTTCTGATTTATAGCTGGCTTCTTCTAGGGCTCAAATGAGCTTTTGGTTGCTTCAGTTTGTTTGAAGGTTCTCAAAGATCAAGTGATCATTTTGAGCTTTTGTCTTGGGTTGATTTTTGGTTGTTTTTTGATTGATTGTTCTTTGCTATGTTCACCCTCTCTTATATTTATAGGAAATGCTAGAATAAGATTTCTAATCTTTTAATAATGGGCAGCAAAAATCCTCAAAAGATCTTTCATTTTTAAATGTAAAGAAAAAAAGGGTTTTATCACTTCTGGCAGATAAGCTCTCAATAGTCAGTTCCTATGGCAATCACTTCCTTGTGTTTTTTTGAAAAAGAACCTAACCCATCTTTAATTCCAACTGCCCCTGTAAGAGTTCAATTTGTGATGGTTAGTTTGATTTTCCAGTTTGAACAACTCCATGTTTCCTACTTATCTTTTTTTTTAAACATAGCATGCGTATCCCTTGAAAGATGGTGCCTTCTTTGGAGTAGAAACAATATCTCTGAATATATAAAAGGGATTTTGATTTTCTGGTGGCAGAGATTTCTGAGATGTCCCTTCTTTTTGCCTGCCCTTGTCAACTCTTTATCATCCCAGTTAAAAATATTGACTTTTCAAATTTCTTTCAGACAGTCACGTGGGTCTGCCTCTGATTTTTTGGGCTTTTTTCTTTAATCATGCCAAGTCCAGTTTTGGGTTTCTTTGAAGCCCAAGTCATTCTTGTGTTTTGATAGGTTCTGGGCTGGGTTTTCTTTGATTTAGGCTCTTGATTCCGATTTTAGTCCATACTGCCTGGGTCTGAATTTGCCTCATCCTTCTGGGCCTCCAATGTTGGGCTAAGTGCGTAATCTTCGACCCAATTTATAAGAGAACGCTGGTGGCTGTCAAAATTGTCATGGGCTTTTGTTCTCTTGGGCTGAGTGTGCCAAATTAGGCTCAAACAAATGCTTTTAACAAATTTTGTTATGATTAAATATGAATGGCTTAGAAAGTGGAAAAATAAATGATAACGGGATTTAAGAATTGAGTGAGAAACAGTATTATAATTTTACAGGAAAGGTTTTTAAACCACCACAGGTACCCAAAATTTTTCCTTCGAATAAACTATTGCCTTCAGATATAATGATGTCCACGAACATCCTAGGGATACCCGGACCATGAGGAGCGAGGAATGCGGCTCAGGTTGATCAATTGTCTCCTGAGTTCTGCTAGGAATGCGGCTCAGGTTAACTTTGTGTTCGGAGTTCTGCGAGGAGGTGTCGCCTATGTGACACTTGGAATTGACAGTATATTGTGGGAAATAAATAGAAAAATCATGGAATTAACGAATTTATGAAGGGTACACCTAGGTGGAAAGAAATTATTATTTTTGAATACTTGCAAATGGTTTTGATGAATTGATTGAATGCATGAATGGTTATATGAATATAAGTATGCATGCTTGATTTTCGTACGAATATAGAACATGGATTAAATGAGTTTTCAAATGGTTTTTAACAGTATGTTGATATTATATTTTGCAAAACTTTCTTTTGTCCACAAACGCTTTAATGTTTCGCGCCCCCAGGCAATAATCGAGTACTGGAGCACCACCACTAGGCATTCATCACCCACCACTCATCCACTTACATTATCTAGGATATTCTACCGTACCCGTACTATTTTTGTAGGCTCTGATATTGCCCTAGGATCTCTGTAAGGCCTGAGGCCACACAGATTTGATGTTGAATTGTGTGTGTTCTAATATTGTTCATGCTGAATGCTTGTAGATATATGAATTGCATTTTGTACAGGTGTAAATTTTGGGAAACGAGCAATTTACAAGGGAGACTCAGCCGATTTTTTGGGCAAAAGTCAAACCTTAAAAGAATTTTTGGGTTTTAGTTTAAAGGAAATTTGGTCAAGTGTGTTTGGCACCTAACAGGTGTTGGATACGTATAGGGTTTGACGCAGATTCCAAAGTAGAATTTAGGTCGGGTCCTCTCAATGATTTACTTGATGAATGAAAAGATAATGGGTATTTTAAGAATAATAGTTGGTGGAAAGATAAAAGTGTGTTTTTTTCAAATTTATATAGTGGGTGAGACAGAAAATTAGGACATAAGTCAGAATAGCAGCACTCTAATAATATTATTCAAAACACGTGAATTGCCATTTTCTTCTCTGTTCCTTATCTCCAACCTCTCTTTTTTTTTGGTCGAATATCTCCAACCTCTTTGAATCCACTTACCAACCGCATATTTTGTTTTCACATTTTCTCTTTTCTACACAAAAAGGACACCGTAGGACAACTCGAGGTGACTGCATTTAAGAAAGGGCACCCCCACCACATCCAAAGGACAAAATAGTAGGTTGTATCTTTTAATGGTTTGGTTTTTGTTATTAATTCAAGTTCTCAAGTTTTTAAATAATATATGTATTTTATTAATTTTAACTGAACACACATGTTTTAAATATATTTTTTCTTGCTAAGTGACTGAAAATATGAAAACTTTGCTTGACTAAATTGGCTAGAATAAGAGGGAAACATGAGGGCACAAAGAAAATGGTAATAAGAAAATTGAACCCTCCCTAAAAAAAAAAAAAAAAAAAAACAAAACAAAACAAAAATTTAACACATTTTTTCTTTCCTTGGAAGGGTTTTATTTATTATTTATTTGGTTGCCATGTATATATTTAGTGTCATTTTGTAGTAAATATCTTTTAGTGGTGCTTCTCTTCGGTACTGTCGGGTTTTTTTAAATATATTTTTTTCAGGCGAGGGTTTTTATAATTCCAAACACAAATTCCCCCTTTTGTTTATATAAGAGATGTGTGCAAAATACCTTTTTAGAGTGCTAATAATTGTTTTTAACGCATCAAAACTAATATTTTTTCAATGATAATTGTGTCTTTTTTTTTCTTTTTTTTTGTTATTAGCATTTGGAAAAGGGTTCTTTTTAGCCGTTAATTTTTTTAATTTTTTTTTGGGTTAATGATAATTGTAGGTTGGTTTTCTCGTCTTATAGTCCAATAAATGGGGCTGTTTGATTGATAAATTCATGTTCCTGTCAACCCACAAACGCAAGAGGACAGTAGAAATCGCTTGAGAATTAGAAGTTCAAAAGAAGTATCACCATTTTGTGGTTAGAATTGGTTTCACATTATGTCATGGTTTCGGGTAACGTTCTAGAAGTTACACGCAAGTGTATACGTGCATTAATTGTGCACTAATCTGTGGAGGAACTTTCATTTACTCTTTTCTTTCATAAGAAAAATTCTTCTTCCTAAATGTTGTTTACTTTGCGAAATGAAACACACATTCCCATTCAAAAGTTTCTAGACACATATAGGATTGCATCATTTTTGTTCATGTTTGAAAATAGTCATCAGATATATAACAATGTAATAATTTATTGTTTTGAAACTTATATCATGTAATATTTTTTTTAATAAAAAGGCGATAGAATTTTATTAAATAAGAATAAATAGTATAAAGGAAACATACTGTAAAGGACGTCATCTCAATAACAATATGATAATTTGTCGATTTTAAATAGGCACTTTCTAAAATTTTGCTCCCTCAAGACAATTTAGTGTATAAAAAACGTTAGGGCATCTAAATTTCAAGGACCGAACATTCTTTCCCACACGTATAACAAAAGTTCAATTTTTACTTATTAATTTTTTAAAAAAAGTTCAAGGAAAAAAACAGATAGGGGGATTATGAGGATTAACGTTTTCACAAAACCGATTCCTAAAGCATCTGTTACCTATCCGCGGGGACCCAATCACACAAATTCCTAAAAAAGTTAATACGCACAGATCATATATTCCAGTGTGTGTGTGTTTTTTTTTAATAGCTTTTTTTGGCGTTTCTGATCCTTAATTATATTTTTTTCTTGGCTAGTTTGTTTTGATTAATTGGGTGTTTGAAAATATCATCAAGACTACCTTTATTGACCTGGAAAATAGGGCCTTTGTAGGTGAGTAGTCATTGGGCACTTGTACTGGCTGGTGCAA